GCCCCGGCTCCCACTTCACAGCACAAGTGTGATACATGGTGTGACATGTGGGGGCCTGGATAGGAGCGAATGACTAGAGAGGGACCGCAGATGCCCGCCCCCACAACAAAGCTGGTTCTATAACCAACGTGCAATTTCTCCATCAATGTCACTGTTGTTCCGTTCTCGTTAGTCACCCTGGTGTACATTTGCTGCTGCTACTGCACAGGATGTTTTGGGGACTGTTTTGGAATTTCCTTCGGGGACAGTTCACCAACCTCACAAGAAAGTCAGTCATGGCTTGATCACACCTTTTCAACTCAAACCACCATTTTCCAGCTTGATCACTCACACTGCTCACCGGCCAGCTTGGCCTGGCTTTGGCCTGTTGGTAACATCACATCCACCTTCAAAAGATGCTGTCAGGCCCTGACCGGTTTGGCTCAGTGGAGAGTCGACCTGTGGACTGAAGGGTCCCAGGTTCGATTCCGGTCAAGGGCATGTACCTTGGTTGCAGGTACATCCCCAGTAGGGAGTGAGTGTGCAGGAGGCAGCTGATCGATGTTTCTCTCTCATCGATATTTCTAACTCTCTATCCCTCTCCCTTCCTCCCTGTAAAAAAACCAGTACAATATATTTTTTTAAAAGATGCTGTCAGAAAGAGACATCCCGGGAACCATGAGCCCACTGCTAGGAGTCACCAGTAGCTCCTACCGATGGTCCTGTCCGAAGCGGAGCTGGTCTGATAAGCCTCTGGATGTAACCAGCAATTTACAGGGAAGAGAGACCGAGGAACATGCCAAACGAAACCATGGGCCACCAGCCAAGCAGGGCCGTGGAAAACTACAGGACAAACATGTTCTTGACCAAGTAAATTCCAAAGGGAGAGTAACAGAGATTGGGAAATTCATTGAGCCATACGCTTAAGGTTCATATGTCTTTTTTCTACATTTACTTCCATCAAAAATGTTACAGAAAAACAGACCTCAGACATCAACCAATATGTGAACTTTATTCCTACCTTGATTTTAACAAATAAAATAGCACAAAAATTATGCATTAGGAAATTTTAAATGCTATTTGATCATATAATATTAAGAAATTACTACTAATATTTTATGTGGGCTAATATTTTTTCAAGAAGCCTTACCTTTTGGATGAACTGAAATATTTCTGAGTGAAAAAAATGTGATCTCTAGGGTTAGCTTCAAAGTAATCCAAATGGAAAAGGGAAGGAGTAAGGGCCTAGATGAACTGAGATTTGTCCTAAGTTGGTCGTTGTGTGTTATATCATTCTGCCCACTTTTGCATATGTTTGAAATTATCCATAATAAAACGTTTTTCACAAAAAAAGATGGTTTGTCACCACTGAGGACGGGAAATCAAGATGCAATTACAAAAAGAGGGTTTTGAAAGTGTCTCAAGCAGTAGCCGTATCATTGAGATACATGAACAGCGTCGCTAGGTGGATAACTTGAAGGAAACACTTGTTTAGAGGTATACGTGATGGCGTGTCTGATTGTTTCTGAAATAGTTTTATCGGGCAGGTGTCCAAAATCCACAAGAAACTCCTGCGCACCACACTGCACAGGGCATCACACTGGAGAGTAGGGCATGGGGGGGAACGGACAGTGGACTGGGTCACCTTTGGCCGCCACTGACCCAAACCCCAAAGTACAAGTGTCCTGACAAGACGGCGATGTATGTCCCTCTCGCGGGGATGATGTCCAGGACTGGGTGGTGCCTCCATGATCAATGTCAACTCCCCCAAGAGACCAGCAGGGGACTGACCACTGAGGCGGGAGAGCACTGCGGGGCAGGTCCAAGTGGACCTTTCGGGGAGTGGGGTCTCTCAAGGCTGGGGTCTCAGGGCAGCCGCGTTGGTGATGCAGCAGGGTAGGCCTGGTGCGCGCAGCCTTGAATATTTGAGTCTTGATGAGTAAAAACAGCTGTTTGATGAACGGGCTGTTGCCCAAGGGAGCAATCCGTCATCCTGAGAAGAGAAGGGGGTTGTTTGTCAAGATGAGCCAGACATTACTTTTCACGATTTCCTGCAGCAAACAGTGAAGTTATTTATTGGTTTACAGTCTGATCTTCCCGACCAAGCATTTTCTGGGTAAACAGCAGGGCGTGCTGACACAGGAGGCCTACAGCTCAGGCCTGAGGGTTAGGCTGCGGGGCCGCAGGGAGCCCACAACCTCCTCGCCAGGGACAGAGGTTCCCTGAGTCTGGCTGCTTGGCTGTTACCAATGTGTCCTCTGCCTCCAGCCAGCAAGTAGGAGGAAAGAGGAGGAGGAACAAGCATTGTCCTTCCACCGGTGCCCCTTCCTTGGTGTGTGTGTGTGAGCATACGTGTGCATGTGTGTGTGCATGCAGCAGTGTGTGTGTTTGTGTATGCAGTAATGTGTGTTTCAGTAGTGTATGTGATGTGCAGTAGTGTGTGTGCAGTAATATGTGAGTATGTGTGTGAGTGTGCGGCAGTGTGTGTGTGTGAGTGTGCAGTAGTGTGCGTGAGTGCAGCAGTGTGTGTGCAGTAGTGTAAGTGTGCAGTAGTGTGTGTGAGTGTGCAGTAGTGTGTGCAGTAGTGTGAGTGCAGTAATGTGTGTGAGTGCAGTAGTGTAAGTGTGCAGTAGTGTGTGAGTGTGCAGTAGTGTGTGTGAGTGTGCAGTAGTATAAGTATGCAGTAGGGTGAGGTGCAGTAGTGTGTGTGAGTGTGCCGTAGTGTGTGAGTGTGCAGCAGTGTGTGTTCGTGTGTGCAGTAGTGTAAGTATACAGTAGTGAGTGTGAGTGGCAGTAGTGTGTGTGAGTGTGCCGTAGTGTGTGAGTGTGCAGCAGTGTGTGTTCGTGTGTGCAGTAGTGTAAGTATACAGTAGTGAGTGTGAGTGGCAGTAGTGTGTGTGAGTGTGCCGTAGTGTGTGAGTGTGCAGCAGTGTGTGTTCGTGTGTGCAGTAGTGTAAGTATACAGTAGTGAGTGTGAGTGGCAGTAGTGTGTGTGAGTGTGCCGTAGTGTGTGAGTGTGCAGCAGTGTGTGTTCGTGTGTGCAGTAGTGTAAGTATACAGTAGTGAGTGTGAGTGGCAGTAGTGTGTGTGAGTGTGCCGTAGTGTGTGAGTGTGCAGCAGTGTGTGTTCGTGTGTGCAGTAGTGTAAGTATACAGTAGTGAGTGTGAGTGGCAGTAGTGTGTGTGAGTGTGCCGTAGTGTGTGAGTGTGCAGCAGTGTGTGTTCGTGTGTGCAGTAGTGTAAGTATACAGTAGTGAGTGTGAGTGGCAGTAGTGTGTGTGAGTGTGCCGTAGTGTGTGAGTGTGCAGCAGTGTGTGTTCGTGTGTGCAGTAGTGTAAGTATACAGTAGTGAGTGTGAGTGGCAGTAGTGTGTGTGAGTGTGCCGTAGTGTGTGAGTGTGCAGCAGTGTGTGTTCGTGTGTGCAGTAGTGTAAGTATACAGTAGTGAGTGTGAGTGGCAGTAGTGTGTGTGAGTGTGCCGTAGTGTGTGAGTGTGCAGCAGTGTGTGTTCGTGTGTGCAGTAGTGTAAGTATACAGTAGTGAGTGTGAGTGGCAGTAGTGTGTGTGAGTGTGCCGTAGTGTGTGAGTGTGCAGCAGTGTGTGTTCGTGTGTGCAGTAGTGTAAGTATGCAGTAGTGAGTGTGAGTGGCAGTAGTGTGTGTGAGTGTGCCGTAGTGTGTGTGACTCTCCCA